AATAATAATAATAATAACAAGCAAGGAAAGCAAAATGGAATGTATTACAATAAAAGATACAATTAGTGGAGATATGTATTATCTAAACTTATCATCAGAAGAAAAACAACGTTTCATAATAGGTCAGTTTATTTTATTAAATATGTTTTTATATGTTCTCTCTTTTATTTCTAAATATCTCTGTATTGAAAATTGTATTGTATTGATTACATAAAGTACTATATATAGTACTTATAATATATTCTTATAAGAAGATAAAAGTAAAAGTGAAAACTAATAAATGAGAATAAAATGTCTTTATGTTTAAAATAAAATACAAATATTATGTTTCCAGACAACGAATTCGCAAAGCAAAAACTGCAAGAAGTTAAAGATTTTGCACTTGCAAAGAAAATGGAAAATGATATAAATTTAAATGGAAAAGAAAATCTTGTATCAATAGAAGATGATAATTCATCTTGCACAGAAAATGAGGATTTAACAGTTTGTAAGCCACTCACTGAAAAACAAGATCTCAATATATTCAAATGGTCTCATGAAGCCATTCTTCTATTAATAGAAGAGTATAGAAGTCGAGTAGATGACTTTACTTCTGGTCGAGTTTCACAAAAAAAAATTTGGGAGGCAATTAGTCTAGTATTAAGAAATAAAGGTTATGATGTCACAAGTCCTCAATGTATGTCCAAATTTAACGGTTTGAAAAAGACTTACAAGTCGGTAAAAGACCACAACAGCAAATCTGGAAATGGAACAAAAAGCTGGCCTTATTATGACTTAATTGACGGATTAATTGGAGCTAAACCATTTATAAGTCCTGTGGCTACAGTTTCATCAACAGGAAAGCGACATGTATCAGAAAGCTCCATCGATTCCAGTGATGATCCAGATGGTCCCCCAAAAAAATCGCCTAAATTTTCCAATAAGGATATTTTGCTGGAGATGCAGAAATCAAGAAATACAGCAGAACAGAACCGAGAAAGACGTCACAAAGAAAAAATAGAACAAAAGCAAAAATGTTTAGATCTTTTTGAAAAACTGATAGAAATGTTACAACAAGAAAAGTGAGTACTATTACTGATTTGACCAAAGATATAAAAAAATTTAATAGAATATAAAAATAAAATATAAAATATTGATGGTATTTTTATACGTACAAATAGACTGTTTACTTAATAGTTGTTGTTCCATCATATAATTTATTTTGTAATAAATTATATGATTGTAATAAATTATGTGATTGGTTTTTTGTATGTGATAATGTTAAGATTCTACTAAAGATAACATTGTGTTAATATTTCGTTGTTTTAATACATAGTTTATTTTTTATAAAGTGTATCAATCAATATTTATTTATTGGTATGCCTTGAAACAAAATACACATTTAAAACACTGTTTAAAGAATATGTAAGAGATTGAGACTGATAATATAAGTGTTATCTTTGAATATAAGTTTAATATAAGTGTTATCTTTGAATATGAGTTAATGGTTCTTATAATATAATTATTTTTGTTTGTAATAAGTTTCTTGTTTCTAAAAGTTATTTAAGTATTTAATATTTTTATTTACTCAACCAGAAGTAAAGTCATCTGCTCGACTACATTGTGAATATTTTTTTAATTCATATATAAGATAAATAAATTTGTTTTAAGTAAAGTGTTTATTGAAAGCTGTTACTTGTGAAAGAAATAAAGAATACAAACATATGTTGAATTGAGTTTGAAATTTATTGTCCTCTTTTTTATATAAAACACAAATAATGTTATATAATTCGCATTGGTAATTGTTCACAAATATAATCTCTTTTTATTACACCACGTCGATTTGCTGCTGCGAGTTCAGCACGAGTAGGATTTCGTTGTACCTCGGAATCTGTTTCAATTACAATGTCATAATCAATATGTAAGAAATCATCACCTCTTATAATACATATATTATGTAAAATGCAACAAGCTAATATAAAATCAGGTATGAGATCTATTCGCTCCATATCAAGTAACGTTAGCAGACTTCGAAATCTTTTTTTTAGTAGTCCGAATGATCTTTCTATTGTTACTCGAGCTGATGCAAGGCAGAAATTAAAATTCTTCTGTCTGTTAGATAAATGGCCATTATCACGATATGGAATAAGAAGACGTTCATGAATAGTATAAGNTCCATCGCCAATTAAATGTGAATCATGTGGAAATTTTGTCGGATCGTCGAGATAATCGTAAACTTCTGAGAGCCGAAATACTCTGCTGTCATGAACTGAACCAACGTTTCCTATATAACAATGAGTAAAACGACATTGGTGGTCGCACACTGCCTAAAAACAAAAATTACAAATGAAAAGAACTGTTATTAAATATATTTTAGCATAAACAAAGTAGTAACAACAGAAAAAAACTGAAGAAGCATATTATACATTTACTCATGTAATTAATAATAAAATACCTGTAAGTGAATTGAATAGCGGCCTTTACGATTTACGTAACATTTTGGATCCAGATGTGGAGCACGAATGTTGATATGTGTTCCATCTATTACTCCAATAATATTAGGAAAACCACTTGTTTGCAAAAATCCATTTGATATTTCAATTGCTTTTTCTTCATTAGGCCATTTAATAAAAACTGGAGCAAAATTAATTAAAGCCTTCACAACTCTCCTCACAGATTTCAAAGCAGTGGCACGTCCAACATTAAATTTTTCACAAATCGACCTACAAATACAATTTTATTACAATAATGTATGATGTATGTCAAATGTTATGTTATAACTATTATATTAAATATACAACCTGTATGAATCAGGCGTTGACATTTTCCAAATAGCTATTAAAAGTTGCTTTTCGGGCGATATTGTTTGACATCCAGGCTTTTTTCTTGTTAGTGTGTTCTTTAAAAGCTCAAAGATATAGTTAAATGTCGAACGCTGCATTCTACAATTATACACTTATGATCAGAAATCTGTCAAAGCTATTTCATATATTCTGTCATCTATATTTTATTTGCTGTGTCCCATATTCACTGTCAGTATTCAAAATCGATTTTCATGTTTGTATGCTATAGATTTGCAGTTGACAGTGAATTCAACAATACAGCCATTGTTTAAAATACCATTCTTTAACTAGTATGTAGCTCGAATACACTTATCAATTACACAAAAATCACATAAATCATGCATTTCACGTATTACACATATAGAAGTAAAGAACTTACCGAAAATGAGATTTAAACTGCGCATTGTTATATTGTGGTAAAATAACCTCTACATAGTTTAAAAGTCGTGGAACTAATTCTTTTTTTTCTTGCATATATAGTAAATTTATTACTTCCACGTCATCCTCACTTTCTTCAGACGAAGACGATGAGAATATCATATCACACAATTCCTGTACCGAAACTGTTAATAATTGCACCGCCATATTTAGCTTTCGCTTCGTTTAAATGGGGCGTTCGTCTTGATGCTAACGTTTTTGCGCTACAGTCAAGACGAACGACCGAAAGCGCTGCATGTAAGCAATAGTGCTATAAGCGAAAAAGCGTGCAAGACGAACGCACCCATAATCTGTCTGGGGTCCTCGTCACCCGCTTCACCTATTACTATCGCCATTGATTCAGAGTGAAGCGCTCGATAAGTGTTTTTTTTTTAATTGTCTACAAACGTTTTTAGCCTGTTCAAGTGCACATTCTGTGCGCGCCTCTTGGCTTTAATTGTATACGTCACATCAGTTACTTTTGCAACTACTTCGTACGGTCCTATCCATTTAGATTCTAACTTCTTAGATTGGCCTCTGCGTAACGTTTCATCATACATTAACACTTTATCACCGATCTTGAATGCAACTGCTTTTGCACCCTTGTCAAAATACTGCTTGGCCTTTTCCTTTTCTTTTTTGAGATTTTCTCTTGCCACGCGATTCGCGGCGCGTAATCTTTCCTTTTATTCTTGTACATAATTTTCTAAGTTATATTGAGTCGAAGACGGCTTAGCCAACGCCGTCGGTAACTTCGCCTGCCTTCCATACACTAGCTCAAACGGCGTGTACCCCGTNGCCGTGTGCGGCGTGGTATTATACGCAAACATTGCGTATGGCACCCACTCGTCCCAATCCGTTTGGTCTTCATTTACAAAGTGGCGGATATACTCCGTTAATGTTCTATGAGAACGCTCCAGCGCCCCGTTGCTTTCAGGGTGATACGCAGTCGTTTGCACTTTACTTATTTTCAGTAATTTACATACGTTTCTAAATAGCTCACTAACAAAATTCGTACCCCTATCAGTTAACACAGTTCCCGGAATCCCGTGTTTGCATATTATTTTCGTAACGAATTCTTTTGCTACGGTCGCGGCTTCTTGATTCGGTATCGGCACCGCTTTACTAAATTTCGTAAGACTATCTTGGAACGTAAGCAAGTATTTATTTCTGTAACTTGATATCGGTAACGGCCCGACAATATCCAAAGCACACTTCTCGAACGGCTCCCGTGGTGTATCTGTAATTACTAGAGGTGATTTTATTCTCCGGGAAAGTTCATACTTCTGGCATGATTCACACTTTGCAACGTACGTTTCTACATCTTTTACCAAACCTGGCCAATTATAATTTTGACGGATTCTTTTTACCGTCCGCGCTACTCCCTGGTGAGCGCCTACCGATGTGTCATGATATTCATACAGTATTTGTCTTTGTTCCTCCTCCGTGAGCTCACATGTCTCACTTACTTCGTTTTCTTCTGTCTCTTTCATTACCTTGTTCGCCTCGCACGCGTTTGCTTCCGGCGCGGGACTCCGGCTCAGTGCATCCGCGTTGGTGTTAGATTTCCCTTTCTTATACACTATCTCGTAATCGTATTCCTCCAACTTGAGACGCCAGCGCACGAGCCGCGATCCGGGATCTTTCACATTAAATAACCACACCAATGCTCTATGGTCTGTCACAATTTTAAACTTTTTTCCATATAAATACGGCCTGAAATGTTTCACGGCCCAAACGATAGCGAGCAACTCTTTCTCGATAGTGTTGTAGTTGCGCTCTGCCTTATTTAACACTCGGCTAGCATACGCTATCGGCTTGTCGGGACCTATTTTCCCTTGTGATAATACTGCACCGAGAGCGTAACTCGACGCGTCTGTCGTGACAATAAACTCTCGATTAAAATCCGGATACGCAAGTAACGGTGCGTTACTCAACTTTTCTTTCAAGGTTTCGAACGCGCAATGCTGTTCCTGACCCCAGCTAAACGCGATTCCCTTGCGCAACAGCTGTGTCAACGGCCTTGCAATTCTTGAAAACTGATCAATGAACTTGCGATAGTAACCTGCTAGTCCGATAAACGCTTGGATATCTTTTACTTTTTCCGGCACAGGGAACTTTGTTACGGCATTCACCTTCGTTAAATCTGGCAAAATTCCTTTTTCAGTAATCACGTGTCCTAAATATGTCACCTCCTTTCGAAAGAACTCACACTTATCTGGTTGAACTTGAGATTATACTCTTGCAGTCTATCAAATACATCTCTTATTCGTCTTCCGTGTTCTTCTAGGCTGGCCCCGTGTATAACTATGTCATCTAGGTAGACAAAGCACTTTATTCCTTGCAGCTCCATCAAGACTGCATTCATCAATCTTTGAAATGTTGCCGGCGCATTCTTCAGCCCAAAAGGCATCCTGTTATATTCATAATGCCCGTATGTGTTGAAAACGCCGTCTTTGACTTATCTTTTTCTTCCATTGGTATCTGATGATACCCAGAAGCCAGATCAAGGGTTGAAAAGTACTTGGCATTCCCTAACTGATCGAGAATATCAGTTATACTCGGCAACGGAAATGAATCTCCGATCGTGACATCATTCAGCCGTCTAAAATCTACAACGACTCTCAACTTCCTGACGCCCGACGCGTCCATTTTCTTTGGCACGACTAAGAGTGGTGCGTTCCATTCGCTCTTACTATTTCTTATTATTTTATTTGTAACATTTCTTTGATCTGCCGATCAACTTTCTGTTTATTCTTCTCTGGCAAACGATACGGCTTAACGCTGATTGGTGCGGTGTCGCTTTTTACCCGTATCCTGTGTGTCACTGCGTTAGCTTTAGTCAATGGTTCTCCTGCCAAATAAAATATATCGCTGTACGCTTCGCAAATCTCCAACAAGACTTGCTTTTTTTTCGTATTTAGTTGCTGCATGCGTAGCGCTTCTTTTATTTTTTCACTTCGCGCCTTTCCTTCCGTTGCGACGCTTACGCTTAAAACTTCGTTTTTTTCTTCCCCGTCTTTGCTTAGTTCTCCTACTTTTACTCGTGGTGTACTTATTTCCACTCTTTCTTCTGTAGTGTTTACTATACTTACTGGGCACAAATATTTCTCCGGCTGTACTAGACAACATCCTATAAATACTCCAGGCCGTGTTTCCTCTGCTTCTATTATGCCGACCTGATTGCTATCCGTGATTGCCTGTACTATGGTTTCGCTTCTTGGTTGTAACACTACGCTTTGATACGGACGTAGTGTCATCGAATCTTTACCTACCTCAAGCCGTCCTTTCTTGTAGTTATCTACGGCATTATATTTCCTAATTAAATCACTTCCAAGTATTCCTTGGTACTTAATTGGAAAGTTGTTTCTTACCACATATATTGCATGTTTTATTCTTCTGTTTCTCAATTGTATATGTGCCGTGATTCTTCCAATTACGCAAGTTTTATGCCCGGTAACTCCGGTTATCTCCAGCTTGGTTTTATCTGCCGGTGTTTTGCTTTTCAGATATTTTAGCTTTATCAATGAGACTGTTGCCCCTGTATCATAGAACATTTCCACCTGGCCTCCTTTTGCCTCTCTT